CCGGTGTGAAATGTTTATTTGTGAATATTTCGCTGACACCTGGAAATCATTTGTCAACATTTTGTAATACTAGTCTATAAACAATGGAAGTGTGTGAAGAGCTCCTGTCCAGGAATGTGTGTTTGTGAACGGACTGTACTTGGTGAAGAAATATTGTGAAAATAACAAACAGTGAATTCATTTCTCTTACCTTATGCCTGGAGCTGCTGCACCCGTAACGGTCAGAAATCACACGCCACGCACACGCACGCCCATCGTTCCTCGTCCTCATGCATCGATTAAATCAGGAGAAATTTAAACATGTCTGTTCTTTGTTCTTCGTTAAACTCCGCCTCCGTTGTCCTCACTTGACATCTTTTTTTTTTTTTTTTTTTTAGATTAGGCTATTTCATCATTTTAAATTAAATGAAAAGTTAAAGTGGAGCTCCGCCTGAGGAAAAAAAGAAAAGTTAGAAGCTACAAAAACTGTACAAAAACTGTATCTGCTGACTTTTAAAATCCAGCCACTTACCTGTCCCTGGTGTCCTCACTATTCTACTCTGTTTTATTCTACTCTTTTCTTTTATTTTCTATTTTATTCATTTCTATTCTGTTTCATGCTAGTCCTTTATTTTCTATCTTATTCTGTTTATTCTATTCAATTCTTTTTTGTTCTATTCTTTCATTTTGTATTCTAGTCTTTTTTATTATATTTTTGGCTGTGAAGCCGGCCGTCTTCTCTCCATGGCGGCTGGCTTCACAGCCGAGTGCCCACTGAGCATGTGCGAGAAGCGCTGCGCTTTGTGAATGGCCCCGTCGTGTCCTGGGACCTGTCATGTGTCCCAGAAAAGTACAGGGAGGGAGGGGGGGGGAGGACAACTTCCGATTCTGATCGACTAGGCGATCGCAGCGGAAGTGGGGGTGGGTGTCAAATTCGTGTATCCGCTCCCCAAAGGTTCCAATCCATAATGGGGAGCGGGGGGAGACAAAGCATTAAAGCAGAACTTAGCCTTTTGGGTGGAACTCCGCTGCGACTTGTATCTATAGACATTTATTTTCTCAGTTATTGATGGTTTGTGTCAAAGGTGTCCAAACTACGGCCCTCCAGGTGTTGGGGAACTACGAGTCCCATGAGGGCTTGCAGGACTCTGACATCCACAGGCAAGACACCCGGAGACAGAGGCATGATGGGACTTGTAGTACTTCAACAGCTGGCGGGCCATAGTGTGGACACCCCTGGATTAGATGATAATAGAAGAGACCCGGCACACAGATGTATTCACATTCTCCCAATCATAGAATAAACACCCATTCAACCATCTGACTGTCCATACACCTCGGCAGGGTGAAGGATCCCATTCCATGGTGTCACTGAGTGGTGTCATACATTCCTGGGAGCTCCATGGGGGGGCGGACTCATGTTCCATGTCTCATTAAGATTTGTTGAAATTGATTACTGTTGTGATTCAGCAATTCAGATACATCCAAATCACTGAATAATGAAAATTTTGTCTGAATTTCAATTGGTAACGGAACGAATCACACATGTCTTAGGCTACGTTCACACTAGCGTTGTGTGCAGGCGGCAGAAAGGCGTTTGGGAAGCATTTTTACCGCTTCCCAAACGCCTCGGACATTTTTGCCCATTGCAGCACATGGTGCTGTTCTAACGGGAGCGTTAGCAGCGCGGCGCATCACGGCAAAACGGACGCCTCTGGTCGAGTCAGGAGGCATTGAAGCCTCCTATTTTAGCCTATGGTGCCGCAAACGCCCGGCCGGCGTTTGCGGTGCGGTTGCGACGTGGTTTGGGGGCGTTTGAGGAGCGGTAACACCATTCAAACTTCATTATAAGCGTTTGTGGGGCGTTTTTAATGCTCGGCAAATGCCTAGCAACCGCCGCTGAACCGCGCATGCGGCGTTTGCGGAGCGTTTGCCGAGCGTTAAAAAACTCTCTGCAAACGCCGGACCAATGCTTGCCAAGCGCTATAGAGGCGTTTGGCAAGAGTTGGTAAAACAGTCAAGTGTGAACGAGCCCTTATTGGGAGAATAAAGCATGAGCTTTGAATCCTCCTTTAAAAAAAATAGAACCCTTTTTCATCCTAGATCTTTTTCTTTTAGGGGGAATACACGGATCATGCTATTGTCCTATGGGACAGTCCTTATGAAAACTGGATTTCCTTTCTTTAATTACTGTAATAACAATCATTTTGATCTCACGGTTACCCATGACTCTTTTTTCATTATTTTAAAAAACAAAAATTTCCAGGTCCAAATGCATTGAAATCAGCACAATGTTTTTTTGCTCACCCCTAGGATCTTTGAAGAGCTTCTAGGAAAGTTGGGGGGGGGGGGTATATGTTTTATATATATCAGGTTAGGGGGGGTATATGGCTTATATATATCAGGTTAGGGGGGTATATGGCTTATATATATCAGGTTGGGGGGGTATATGGCTTATATATATCAGGTTGGGGGGGGTATATGGCTTATATATATCAGGTTGGGGGGTATATGGCTTATATATATCAGGTTAGGGGGGTATATGGCTTCCAGAGGTTCATGGAGAATACACAAATCCTTTAAGATGCATATTTGGGGGATGTGTTGAAGCTGTATGTGGTGTTGCAGAACCAGCACAGTTTTCAGGTCTCAGCAACTGTATACTTTGTGTAACATTCCCTCCAGGACCCATGCTTGTACCTCCGGGATCCATGCTTGTACCTCCGGGATCCATGCTTGTACCTCCGGGATCCATGCTTGTACCTCCAGGAGCTTGGCCAGTCCTGTTTATGTGTGACGTGTCACACACGTGTGTGTACCGGACTGCTGTCTTTTAGCTTTGATTCGGCATCGATGTGCCACCTGGCCTTGAAGATAATTGAACTCCATCTCTTGTGCTGGCTGGTGCTGGGATTTCTTGTTCTAGGGGTGTAATAGAAGGAGTAGGGTGTTTATACCCAGAATTGAACTGTCAGGGTATCATCCTGTATACTGGAAAATATTTGAGTAAACAATAAATGGGACTTTAAATATACCTCCGGCGTTCACAAAAAAATTCACATGTAGCAATCATATATATACAATGAAGGAAATGCGTATTTGCTCCTCTGCTGATGTTGAATGTTCGCCCCTCACAAATAAATGATCGGTCTAAAAATTGAATGTTCGGTGTATTGTAACACTGAGAGACAGAATAGCAACAACAAATTCAGCAGAAATGTATGTCTAACAAATGATGACTGATCTGCATGTTCATGAGGGAAATAAGGATTTGATCTCCTATCATTCAGCAGGATTTCTGGCTACCAGGTGTCTTTCATACAGGTAACAAGCTGAGATTAGAAGCAGTCTCTTAAAGGGAGTGCTGCTAATCTCATTGTGTTACCTGTATAAAAGACACCTGTCCACAGGAGCAATCAAACCATCAGATTCCAAACTCTCCACCATGGCACCACCACCCAAACTCAAAAAAAGCCTATGAAAAAGGTACCAAGGGCATCTCATGGGGCCCCCTACTGACCCTGGGCCCTCGGGCAGTGCCCGAGTTTCCAAATGGTCAGTCCGCCCCTGAACACAAAACAACTGTCAGTCTCCCTAGGTCTGATGCACCATGCAAGATCTCACCTCGTGGAGTGTCAATGATCATGTGAACAGCGAAGAATCATCCCAGAACTAAACGTGAGGATCTTGTCAATGATCTCCAGGCAGCTGGGACCACAGTCACCAAGAAAACAATTCGTAACACACTACACAAGGACTGAAATCCTGCAGTGCCCGCAAGGTCCCTCTGCTGAAGAAAGCACATGTCCGGGGCCCGTCTGAAGTTTCCCACTGAACATCTGAATGATGTAGAGGAGGACTGGTTGAAAGTGTTGTGGTCAGATGAGACCAAAATCCAGCTCTTTGGCATCAACTCAACTCGCCGTGTTTGGAGGAGGAGGAATGCTGCCTATGACCCCAAGAACACCATCCCAACTGTGACACATGGTGGTGGAAACATTCTGCTTTGGGGGTGTTTATCTGCTATGGGGACAGGACAACTGCACGGCATCAAAGGGACGATGGACGGGGCAATGTACCGTCAAATCTTGGGTGAGAACCTTCTTCCCTCAGCCAGGGCATTGAAAATGGGTCGTGGATGGGTGTTCCAGCATGACAATGACCCAAAACACACGGCCAAGGCAACAAAGGAGTGGCTCAAGAAGAAGCACATTAACCTCTTGACATCAATGTAACACAAATATGTGGCCTCACAGAACTGGGCTTTTTTCTGTGGGACCGCATATTTGCGTACCTGTCCTTGTACCGGGAGCACGCCGTACAGTGCGCTCCCAGCACAAAGACCGCGGTGGCACTGAGGACCACAAGTCCCGTTCTAACAATCGGGATCCGCGACTCCCGATTCCAGGTCACATGATCGCTGTGATAGCCTCTGATTGGCTATCACAGTGATCAGTCACTGTGCAGACCGACTCCCTTGTTTATTTCTTTCTCTATGAATGGAGGAGAGAGATACATTGTATCTCTCTAACTCCTGACATAGAGAGAAAAAAAATGTTTGTAAAAAAAAAAAAGAAAAGATAAATAAATAAATATTAACCGCTAGCCTACCGGGCACTTATACCCCCCTGTTGCCCAGGCCAATTTCCAGCTTTCAGCGCTCTTGCAATTTGAATGACAATTGCGCGGTCATGCAACACTGTACTCATATGAAAGTTTTATCATTTTTTTGTGACAGATAGAGCTTTATTTTGGTGGTATTTAATCACCTCTGGGATTTTTATTTTTTCTTAAACAAACCAAAAACCACTGAAAATTGTGAAAAAAAAAAGTTTCTTAGTTTTTGTTAAAAAATTTTGTAAATAAGTGATTTTTCTTCTTCACTGATGTGCGCTAATGAGGCTGCAGTGATGGGCACTGATAGGTTGCACTGATGGACACTGATAGGTAGCATTGATGGGCACTGATGAGGAGGCACCTGTAGGTGGCACTGATGGGCATTGACAAGCATCACTGATGGGCACTGAAAGGCAGCACTGATACATGGCACTGATAGGCGGCACTGTTAGGCGGCACTGACTGGCATTGTTAGGCGGCACTGACAGGCACTGATAGGCGGCACTGACAGGCACCGATAGGCAGCACTGACTGGCACTGATAGGCGGCACTGACTGGCACTGATTGGCAGCACTGATTGGCATTGATAGGTGGCACTAACTGGAACTGATGGGTGACACTGAAAGGCAGCTCAGATGGGCACTGATATGTGGCATTGATGTGCACTGGTAGGCACTGATATGTAGCACTGATGAGCACTGACAGCTGGCACTGATGGACACTGACAGGTGGCACTGTTGGGGCTACACAGATCATCAGGGCACACTGATCATCAGTGCCCTAATGATCAGTGTACATGTCCCCTCCGAGGAATGCCGATTACCGGCTCTCCTCTCCTCTGTCAGCGTGACAGCTTGAGAGGAGAGAAATGCAGATAACCGGCATTTCCCTATTTACATGTGATCAGCTGTTATTGGACACAGCTGATCACATGACCGAACCGACATCTTCGGCTCTTTCCATTGATAGGTGATCTGCTGTGTCCGAGGGACACAGAGCACCGCCGATCGCCGATCGCCGTGCTGCGTGCTCCCTGTCGCGCGCATGCGCGGTGAGAATGGGAGGACGTCATATGACGTCCTCCCAGAAACGCGAGAACCACCTTGCGTCTGTCATATTACTATATGGCGGGCAGGAGGTGCTTAAAAAATAAAATTAAAAATAAATAAAAAATACCTAGATCAAGGTTTGATCTAGTTCAGTGCCAGGGTTAGAGTTTGGGTCAAGGTCAGGGTCAAGGTCAGGGTCAAAGGTCAAGGTCAAAAGGTCAGGATTAAAAAATTGGTATCAGTGTCAGTGTGTTTTAGGTAAAAAAAAAAAAGACAAAAACAAAATGCGCACTATTGTTTCTGGGCTGTACTCCGGGTACAAACAACAAATAACATACACATATATGGTATCGCTGCGATCGTCAGGAGCTGGAGAATTTATTTTGGGTTGTTTTCTGGTGGTAGGTTATGGTAGTAACAAGAAACACACAGATAAATAAAAAAAAATTTTTTTTCACTATTTTGGGCCAGTTTTCCTTCGATAATAAAACAAAATCAGGAGCTATCCATTACCATTTTCTGCTTAGGCATTTAGATTTGTTTTACTCTTAGGCATGAAGGGGTTAATCTCCGTCCTCCAGTAATACAGGCCAAAGCCCGGAGACACTCACTGTGGAAACATAAACTGTTGCATTGCCTTAGATCAGTGCCTTCAAAATAATTGTCAGCTTCCTTTACCGCTCATCTAAAAGAATGCGCCTGGACGGGATTATATATATTGGGCGTGTATTGACCCCCTATAATTAAGGGGTCAAAGGATCTGTAAGCCCCCATTTGATATCACGGTGGTGCAAAGTCACGTTGGTGGTTATATTGGAATGAGGATTTTTCATCATTCCTCACAGAAAAAAGAGGACTGTTCTATACACTCTATAAGGACGGTTTTATTTATATTTATTTCATGTATTTGTTTTGTGGCAATGGTTCAATCATGAGCACTTTCTTGTTTATCCTTTATTGGACATATATTATTTGTATATTATTCATTAATTTTTTGAGGTATTTATATTTCATTGAGCGAGTTTTTTATTTAATTTGTGATTTAGAGGGGATATCCTCTTGGTGTGTTTGCTGCTTTGTACACGATTTGGGTGGGTATTTGCGCAGTTCAATTATTTTATATATTAATTTGGGGATACCCTTAATCTTCACATACCAAATCATGTGTGGCATGCAAGTCACCTCCCATGAACAGTATCTGCTCACCAACCAATGCTGACCCCAATCTGAAATCATAGTCACACATGCTTTTGCACCCTCCTGGGCTATACACCAAATGGCTCCTGGCTCCTAGTTCCACACCAAATGGCTCCCAAGATTGTTCCTTCACTCCTCCTTTCTTCTCATCTATAGATATAGTTAATATTTACACTCCCCGGTCACACCGATCCCGAATTTGAAATCGTGGAGGGCTCGCCTCCAGGACTTCTCCCGAGCTTCTCCCATCCTATGGAATTCGCTACCCCAATCTGTCCGGATCCCTGTCTCCTAAGTCTATCCTGCTTCTAATTAGTAAACCGCCATTTATTTCCTCTGTCAGCTCATCCCCCCCACAGCTATTACCTTTTGCATCACTCAACCCTTCCTTCTAGATTGTAAGCTCTCAGGATCAGGGCCCTCTGTTTCCTTATGTACCAAATTGTATTGTAACTGTAATGTCTGCCTTCATTTTGTAAAAAACTGTTGGCGCAATATAAATCCCGGATAATAATAATAATATCACTTGTGCAAAAGGAATAAAACCAACAGTGCTCTCTGTACATATGAAATCATTCAATGCATGCTTAAAGCAGAACACTAATATAAAAATGCACACAAAGTGCCATGATTTGTACATTATACATGTATTGGCATCTTCCTCTCACCACAAGGTCTGTATACCACCCGATAGCAGCTTGTGTGCTCCGCCCCTATACATACGTGTTACTCCTATAATGTAGGCTTCCTCAGAAGGACCGGAGCAGGACAACTAACCTCACTTACTGTATATACTGTCCCAGCCACCACCATGAACTCCATGTGCACTGGGAGACGACCAGAAATGAAATGGCGCTGCTATAGGGTGGTTTACAGATCTTGTACACCATACTGTAGCAAGCTTCTCCAGGATCGGACTCAACTACGTACTTCATTTCAGGCTCAATGAGGAGGTCTCTAAGGTCTTCACTGAAGCCCGCCTCAACACCTGCCCCCTGGACCCTATCCCCTCACAGCTCCTCCAGTCACCCCCCCCCCCTCCATCATTCGCTCCCTCACCCACATCTTCAATCTCTCCCTCTCCACCGACACCTTCCCCTCCCCTCTAAAGCTTGCACACATCACCCCCATACTCAAAAAACCCTCCCTTGACCCCACTAACCTTAACAACCTTAGACCCATCTCCCTGCTGCCTTTCACTTCCAAGCTCCTTGAGCGCCTGGCCTACAATCGCCTAAGCGCCCCCCACTGATAACAACCCCCTTGACCCCCTACAGTCTGGCTTCCGTCCCCTGCACTCCACCGAAACCGCCCTACTTAATATCACCAACGACCTGCTAACCGCCAAAGCCAATGGCCACTATTCTATCCTCCTGCTCCTCGACCTCTCTGCGGCCTTCGACACTGTTGACCACCCCCTCCTCCTTGCCAAACTGCACTCCCTTGGCATCAGGGACGCTGCCCTCTCCTGGTTCTCCTCCTACCTTTCCCAACGCTCCTTCAATGTCACCTACAACACTGCCACCTCCCCCTCCCTCCCTTTCTCTGTTGGGGTCCCCCAAGGTTCTGTCCTCGGGCCCCTCCTCTTCTCCATCTATACCTCCTCCCTTGGCAAACTTATTCACTCCCACGGCTTCAATTACCACCTCTATGCCGACGACACCCAAATTTACCTCTCCACCCCCCACCTCACCCCCTCACTCCCCACCTCCTAAACGACATCAGACTGGATGTCGCTCCATTTCCTCAAACTTAACCTATCCAAAACCGAGCTCCTGGCCTTCCCCCCACCCCGCGCCCCCCCATCCTCTCCATCACTACTAACAACGCCACCATCTCTCCCACCCCACACGCCAAAGTCCTGGGTGTCACCCTGGACTCCCACCTATCCTTCCTACCCCACATCCAACTGCTATCTAGATCTTGCAGGCTCCACCTCCGCAACATCTCCAAGATACGCACATTCCTCACCCCAGACACCACCAAACAACTCGTACACTCCCTCATCATCTCACGCCTGGACTACTGCAACTCCCTTCTCACTGGCCTACCCAAACGAACGCTATCCCCACTCCAGTCCATCCTGAACTCAGCGGCCAGACTCATCCACTTTATCAACCGCTTCACATCTGCCTCCCCCCTCTGCCAATCCCTTCACTGGCTCCCGATTGCCCAACGCATCAAATTCAAACTGCTAACTCTGACCTACGAAGCCATTCACAACGCCGCCCCAAACTACATAACCGACCTGATACCCAAATACTACCCTATCCGTGCCCTCCGCTCCTCACAGGACCTCCTGCTATCTAGCTCCCTGGTCTCCTCCTCCCACGCCCGATTGCAGGACTTCTCCAGGACTTCTCCCTCCTCTGGATCGGACCAATCCATCAGACTGTCACATACCCTCCTCACCTTCAGACGCACCCTGAAAACCCTCCTCATAAGGGAAGCCTACCCCAACCTCACCTAACACCTGACCTCACCTAACAACTAACCTCCTCCACTCCTCCCACCACTCCATCCCCCACAGCCATCTCCTCCTTTATCACCTTCCCCTTCCTCCTAGATTGTAAGCTCAAAAGAGCAGGGCCTTCGAACCCCTCGTGTATTGTATTGTTACTGTCTTGTCTCATGTTCTGTCCCCCTTGCTACTGTACAGCGCTGAGCATACCCTTTGGCGCTATATAAATACTGTATAATAATAATAATAATAATTACTGCAACTTTCAATATTGTGCACTTCGCGCTCCCACAAACTCAGGTCTCCGCAGAGCAGGAACTTTATAATAGTTGTTCAGATGTGAAACAGTCCCACTGATTAAACATTTGGCTCACAGTTCAGAACAGTAATTATTGTGGTTTTACACTGTAAAGCTACCGGAGGACAGATCTCCTGGAGGGGGGGGGTGGTATCCTCTGTGACTGCTTACACTAGCCCACTGAAAGGGACCCTCTGAAGGTTCTATGGCAGCAGACAGTGTCCCTCATACTGTCCCCACTCAACAAAACCTATACCTGCACTAAGCATTGTCCCTGACCAACGGGTTCCTCTCCCAATCCTGCCATTCAATCAAAGTGTGCCTGAATGAGGTAGGATCCTCTTTTAAAGACTCTCATGTTAAGATTTCACCCACTCTCATGGAAATTGAGTATCCAACTGGATACCAGAGAGAAGTGAGTCCATAAGGGGACAATTCCAGGGGCGTATTTACCACAAGGCCAACAAGGCATTTGCCTAGGGCGGCATTTTTTTTGGGGGGGCAGCACTGCCCCCTGGAAGAAGGGACGTATGCGGCATGGGGACCAGGTGTGACCTGAGAGAGGCTGCGGGCTGCTTGATGGTGTATGCAGAGCATGACTGTCATTCCCGGGGATGTCCAGAGCTGTGAAGGTGTCTTTCTCTCTTTTGCCGGGGTTTGGGTGTTAGTGGAAGGCTCTCTCGGGTGGGGGGGATGGGGCAGGGGTGTTGTTGGTTGGTGTCAGGCTCTCTCACCGTGGAGGGGGGGCGTAGGATTTTTGTGTTGCCTAGGGGAGCACAAAACCTAAATACACCACTAGACAATTCTCTTCTCAGACTCCTGCAGGCTTTCCTATCCTTTACCGCCAGCCATGGAACTAGGAATGATTGATCCGTTCCTGAACATTACTTCCAGCACAGCCATGTGAGCGTGTACTCAGTGCTTGTATTTCTAGGACTTTGGTGTGGTCA